TCTCTCTCTCTCTCTCTCTCTCTCTCTCTCTCTCTCTCTCTCTCTTTCTCTCTCAAAAAAAAAAAGTAAAAATTCTATTCTTAAATTATAAAACCCACAGTCACCCATGAGACAAGATGTTTCTAAGGAATCGAGCAGAGTCTGGGTCAGGGCCTCAGTGACAGGCTTCTGTCTGAGGGTCAGACAATGCGATAGGGACAGCAGTGCCACATACACACTTCACTCTGAGCAATGGAGGGACTGTGTAGGGCTCAGGCTCAGCGGGACTAAAAGTGGGCAGGACTGTCTGGTAGGAGCTGGAGAGGAAAGCTACAAAGGCAGGCTTGTTAGTCTTGTTTCATCAGGAAAAAAAAAAATGCTCAAAGCATAAAAAGAAAACAAGAAGAAAGTACTAATTTTTATGCTAGAAATCAAAACATCTATTTTTCCCATCATAAGGTTTTATCTCCTAACAGACCCTATAGAGTAAGCAAGAGAAAATGACCAGACTGAAAAAAATAATAATTTTGAAATAGTATTGAGATTGACCTGGAGACACATTTTGTTGTCATTGTTTCTGCTCATGTTTTCCTGGGCTTCTTGGGGATGTTAATGTAGTACCTTTAGCAGTGGGAAGTCAGAGAGGACAGGAGCATCAAGTTCTTCCACCATTAAAATAGCTTCTAACAGCTGTATATCTGCCCAGCTGAATTTGTTGCCAACGAGAAAATCCTCTCCATGGTCTTTCAGAATCTACAGAAAGAAAGAAAGGAAAGAAAAAGATTACCAAATGGAATTAGAAAGACTATTTTGCCTGGCTAAACACCTTAAAAAGCATAAAATCTTCACACTGATCAGATTTACTGATAATCTTCAATGCTGGCAAGAATAGGTTGTAACCAACACCCTTTTACAAGTTGAAAATTGGCACAATCTTTTTGGAAATTGGTCAGTGATTGTCAAGGTCCCTTAGATGGTGAAGTGCCAACACTGGGCTCCTGTTACAAGCTTGGAGGTAGGTGGTTATGTAAAACTATACCCACCAGTACAGGGAATCACAAAAGCCACATAGCTAGCACCTGACTGCTGTACCACAGGTGGAAAGAAGTCACCAATGGGATAGCAGCAGCCCAAACCTCAGCCACAAAAAAAGCTCATTTTTTTTTTACTGGAAAAATGAATATAAATAATCTCTATGGGGAATCTTTGAACGGAAGATGCATAAAATATGGGTTACTCCACAATATTTTTAGATTTTGTCAAAGGTATTTTGGTTATCTCAGTGCATCAGAGAAGCAGGGTTCGTTTTCTGCTCAGGACCATTGTCTTCACAGAAAAAAAGATCTCTTCAAAGCCCCAGAAAGAATAACTTGCCTACCAGCAGCCTCTAGAATATGTATTCTTGATCAGAAGATCAAGATGGCTTGGTAATTAAATAAATAACTTATGATGATAAATAGTATCATAATGGTATATGATACTATAATGGACAAAAGCAGGAACAAAATAATAATAAACTCATTGTTCTGTTTAGAAAATGCTAAGTAGTTAATTTATTTTTTTCAATAAACTCATCAATGAGTTTTTCCCTTCTTTTTTTTTAGAGAGAGAATTTTAATATTTATTTATTTATTTTTTAGTTTTCGGTGGACACAACATCAAACCCAGGCCGAATGCATGCCAGACGAGCGCGCTACCGCTTGAGCCACATCCCCAGCCCCAGTAGTTAATTTCTTTCAAGTGGAAAATAAAAAGAATTAAGCATTTATCTTCCTTGCCTACATAAACCACATCCCAGAGTAACCAAATGTATTATGAGACAGAGATTCTTTTTATACAAAATATTCCAGCTAATAAATGAAGAGAGACTAATAGGATGGAGGTTTGAACATTTTTTTGTATCCACTAATAAATCAATGTATCTAGGCATTTATTATTAATCATGTTAACATCATAAGAACAGCAATCAGGTAGCTTGTGCTTTCCGATGACCTACACAACACCACCTAGGAAGTATTCTAGCCACAATAATTAAATCTGAACGTGATCGACCTTCTAATCCTAACTTCCAATTTACAAGATATTTAGGACTAAAATCCAGCCTGAAAGAAACTCCAGGACAAATGTAATAGGGGAAAAAAAAAAAAGAGAGAAAAGGAAGAATAAAAGCAGGCAAGTGATCATTATATTAGGAAACTTAAGAAATGTACTAATTGCAAGAAATGGAGTTAAATTCAACCCTGATTTGAATGAACAATTTTTAAATGTTTTGGGAAGTAAGCCATTTGCTGATTTCAAAATCTGTAGTAAGGCATAGCCCACTGAATACTACAACTCAAATGATCATTTACTCATTTTAAATGGAAGGTATTTCAACCGTGCTATACTTTGTCCCTAGATTACCAGAATTTGCTTACCTAGAACTCTGCGGTGCTAACAGAATTCTTCACTATAGTTTACTCATTTTTAAGTCAATCTCTCCTAAGACTAAGGCTGAGAATATATGCCGCAAAACTCTATTGTCCAACAAAACCTTTATTTATGGTGAGAAACTAATGTGACTCCATTTTTGAGAAACCAGCCTCTACCTCAGAGCAAAGCCTGTCCAAGGAAGGGTGTGACCCTTGCCATTGGAAAAACCCACAGAGCACTCTAAGCACATACCCACCCTGCTGAGTTGTTTGTCTGTAAATATCAGGAGAGGTCTGAGGCGCCAGGTGTCCCTGACTCAGTTAGGCTAGGTGAGGACCCATAGCAACCCTCCTAGCAACCTCCAACCAGCATAAGACAGGGAAAATACCTGGAATGCAAGATGACCCCCAAGTAGTTTATGGTGGTTGATAACATGTTAGGAAACCATGTAGTTTAACACGTACACCCCTCATGGCAGAAACCAATTAGTTCAAATGAATCCCCCTATTGTACTAACCAATCACCCCTACCCAACTTGTTCCCGGCATTGAATATGCTAATCGATGTTTAAGAGTTGTTGTTTGATTTTCCCGAAGTATGGAATGATTTGCTGTGATGTTGGGATGTATAGAGTATCCCCCAAAACCTAAAAAATCTCACTGAACAAAGATCCCTGGGACCTCTGCATCAGGAATGGGAACGGTTGTGAGTCCAGGCTCCAGCTTGCAATAAAGACTCTTGTTTGCTTGCATCAGATTCAGCTCCTGGAGGTCTATTAGGGTCCCACGAATCTGGCATAACAATGGAAGTTACACTGTCAAGTTTTTCTTGTTSCCCAGGCTGCCCTGGAGGTTTGGACCTTTACCAGCTGCACACTCATGACAGAATGGCTTCAGAAAAGTTTTAAGTTTAACAGATTTTTGTCTTTTGATTGAGGCACAATTACTGTCCGCTACTAGGCCTAAAAATGCACCTTGACAGCAAATTCAAGTGGTGACTCTTTGGGCTGATGGCTTATTTTTAAAAATCAGAAGAGAAAATTGCACTTGCCTTATTCCAATTCTGTTTTTCACCTGTTGTTTGTTCTAGAATCCTCACTAAAGTTTTGATCCTCTTGGCTTTTCAGATGCTGACTCTTTAAGTATTCTTTGTGACAGGAGAAACAAAAGCTCTGGGTTCCTACAGCTTACCTTTTCAAAGGTGGGGAAGTAACGGGTTTTAGCTTTCTTCATAATTTCAGCATAATTTTCCTCTTTCTCCTTGGGGGGTTGGAATGCAGCTCGCGCAATCATTATCATCAGGTCCAGGGTGCCATCAGTGTACATGTCAATCCTGACAAAACAGATACATGGTTTCCTGGTCTAACACTCCATGGTATATTAAATAATCATTGGAACAAACAATTTTTGATTCTTCCCTTAAGCTTCCATTCTCATCAGTAACTTTGGGTACCAGATCCAGCCAAGTAATGTAGTAGGGTCTCTGGAAATGTTTATTGAATATAAGGATGTATGAAAAAAATTGATGAAATCACAGTTGTATGTACACATAAATATTACCACAATAAAATCCACTATCCTGATAAATAATGCACCAATTAAATGCACCAATTTAAAAAACAGAATTGATGGATGCCTTTAAGTTGAAATCTGCCATAAGCAAATGCTTGGATTATAATGGTTTTAAAAACTGAACTCATAAGTTTATCAAAAGTACAAAACTTTTAATACTAGAACTTTCTCATCAATTTAGAGGAGATAAATTATTTAACAGGTCTTCCATAGACCTGGAAACTAAGAAAGCTAGGCAGGTCACATAAACAGTTTGGTTTTCATTCCCTTTAATTTTTTTTTCATTGAAAAGCACTCTTTTAAAAGACATTTTTTTTTTTTAAGAAAGAAAGAACGAACAAACAAACACTTGGTTTTTTTTTTTTTTAAAGAGAGAGTGAGAGAGGAGAGAGAGAGAGAGAGAATTTTTAATATTTTTTATTTTTTAGTTCTCAGCGGACACAACATCTTTGTTGGTATGTGGTGCTTAGGATCGAACCCGGGCGGCACGCATGCCAGGCGAGCACGCTACCGCTTGAGCCACATCCCCAGCCCTAAAAGACATTTTTTAAAAAACCAATAAAAGTAGATGCATCACAATTATTTACTGGCCAACTAGTGCATTGGGTTGCTGTGGCAGTTTGCTCTACTGATGGTCCTTGTATCCCCCATTATGTGTCAAGTATTCAAAAAATTTAGTTTAATGATTTTCTGTAGTCTATCTTTGCTTTTAACAGCACACAAAAGAATAATGAATTTGGATTACAAATCATTTTTCTTCCATGTTAGATTGCCATCTGACCCACTTGTCTATTATAGTCTATGCCTAATCTAAAGAAATAATATCAATGATTTTGTCTGTAGCTAAGCGCACACATCTTAAAGGAAAGAAAACAATGAAAAATACACATCAAAACAATGAGAAAGAGACTGCTTTTGCATATAAATACTTATCTACATGATTACAGAGGGCTTCATTCACACAGTTTGACATTGCTCCCTAGGCCATGTATGTTTGGGATTGCAGGCTGTAATGACAAACCTGTCTTAAAGATGGAGAGGTGGGAAAGCTGGGTGGGCTTTTCCTTTTTATGGACTTTGTACATTTCTACTTTATGCACTTGCTCTCCTTTTTCTAAACACTGAACTTGGCTTTGTTCTAGCTTGTCTTCTATGTATACTAACCATCCTACCATTCCACATTTATGGTAATAAGATTTTAGGAACCAAAGAAAAGGCCACTTGACCCAAAATCCAGATAAAGTTTTATAGTTGCAAGTCTTTGTTTTGTCTTAAGTCTACTTATTCACCATGAAACTATTCTTTGGGGCTAATAATCCAATCATCCTCTGTTAGGGCTAGCAAGGTGGACCGCAGAGAAGATGCTTATGTTACATAGATGGGAGGTGGGGGATGGCGGCAATCCTTCACCCTCCAATAGATATATGAGGAGTCTTGGCAGCTCCTCCCATCCGAGGTGAGGCCTATTTCCCAGGCTGACCCTGTGACCTTCTCTGACTAATAAAATGAGGTGAAAATGGTGAGGAACCAGTTCTGAGCCCAGAAATTAAGAAGTCTGTGTACTTTCACTCTTCCTCTCAGAACCCTGCCTACCTACCATGAGGAGGACAAGCTCAAGATGAAAGAATGAGAGACACATGGCCCTTTTCTCCCCCCAAAAGTCAGCCAACACCCAAAGCGAGAGACACATGGCTACTGTTTGGCTGACCACATCATATGACTGAGGCCTGTTGGGGTAAGTCAAGTGTGGCCCAGAAAAACCAACCACTAAGATGACCCATAGACAAGTGAGCAATAATAAATGCTTATTGCTTTAAGTTGTTCTGTTTCACCTTCTTTCTTTATATTGAAGCACCAGAGATTAAATGTAGGGCATGCTATAACCACTGAGTTATACCCCAGCCCCAAATCACTGTATCAAGATGATATGTTATACAGTGTTGCTTATGATAAATAGATCATTGATAAAATGYTCATTATTTATTTGCCAAACCAGCTATTTCCACCTTTATGTAGAATCATTTACCAAGTCATCTTCTGAAAACATATGTTGCTAGTAGAGAATATGAGAATGCTACATGCAGACCACTATGAAGTACACGCACAAACAAGGGGAGATGTGGAATATTTGTTCAAAATTCTACATAAGACATACCAGGTCTAGCACAGCATGTCCCCATTGTCCCCCTAGCTTTCTCCTTTCAGTCCAGGCTGAGAGGTACACTTGAACTAGGTCTCAGTTGATGCAGCACTAAAAGAAGCTTGAACAAAACTCAAGTACAGGAATGAACAGTATGGTACCTGACTCTCTCCTTCAGGTCCTTTCCATACAAGTTGTACTTGGCAGCAAGATAGCTGAGGATAGCTCTAGTCTGTGTCAGCATCATTCCATCAATTTCAACCAAAGGCACTTGGCCAAAAAGCAGGCATCCGTCTGTAGTTTGAACAAAGAAAGGGTAAGACATTCTTTGACGAAGGATAGTCCACTGAGTGATTTTKGGTTTTCAGCCAAAGTGATGAGTTACAGATCCCAGTAATTGAGGAAATGCCTACTGTTTGCTGCAGTAGCAATAGTGTCTATCTAGCAATATTTTGGCATCAGATTCACCATTTTAGGTAGGGAGCCATTTTTTAGTTATAAGTGGACACGATATCTTTATTTTATTTTTATGTGGTGCTGAGGATGGAACCCAGTGCCTCATGCATGGTAGGGAAGTGCTTTACCTCTGAGCCACAACCCCAGCCCTCCAGCAATATTTTGGAAAGATAAAATGAGATCTTTAAAAGACAAAATTTTAAATGCATTTTATTGTATTTTTGTGTGTTGATCAATCTTGATTTTTAAAGACTTTCCACATTAACTGTATTAGAGTGTAAGTGTTTCTGGTTCTCAACATTTAGGCTGAATAAATCTGTGGTGAGGGTTGTTAAAAAATGCCCTCCCCATTCCTCAGGGAAGGAGTCTGGGATTCTGCATTCTTCCCAAAGTACATCTGGTCTCATGCAAAGCATCCACAGCTGCATAATGGACATGACAGCAAGAACCCAGGCACACTTGGGTTCAATATCAGCTTCAGCCCCCTTCAGCCATGTGACTTTGGACAAATTACTTATCTAAACTTGAGATTCCTGTCTCTAAAATAGCAGTAGTGTCTATCTAGGAGGATTTTGAGAAGATAAAAATGAGATATGTAAAAGACAAACACTGCCAATAATATCCAGTGAAATAAAAATTAAATTCTCTTTTTTTTTTGTAACTAATTGCCTACATACATAAGTCAAGCACTGCTCAATGATGGGAATATAGTCTGAGAACTGCACTGTGAAGCAGGTTTATCATGGTATGAACATCATAGAGTATACCTGTACAACCTAAGATGACTATGATCTCATTAGGCGATATAATCGTAGGGGACTACCATTATATATGTGGTCCATTGTCAACCAAAACATCATTGAGCAGCATATGACTACAGTGCATTTGAGATAGATTCTAAATGGTGCTCTTTTCATGGAGTCTTGAAGAAATGAATAGCTATTGAATTTCTACAATATCTGCACATTGTTGTAAGAAATGTTATCTAGAATAGGAATCAGACTTCACTAGTGCATTGGCAAAGATCTGGGTTGATTCCCCCAACTTCTAATGGTGTTCCTATTAGATTCAATGGGAGGCAGTAGAAGATTGTGGGAAGAATACCCTCCAAACCAGTGACAGCTGCTGAGAACCAGTGTCTCTTTCTACTTAGATGAATTAGGCAAGTCTTTGACTTCTCTGAGCCTATTTTCCAATCTGTAAGTATCTGTCCTGCCGTCTTACCCAGTTTCTTTGAATAAGAATAAGTTAAAGCTTTGGAAATATCAGTACTATTGTTAATGGGGAGGATACAAAGCCTCCATTCTCTGAAGGTATTTTCACATTTGTTCAATATTGAATGAACCCCTAACAGCTGGGCATGTGCTACTGCTTGTGAGTGGCACAAACATTAAATTACTACTGATGCCCACTTCTAGGAGTTGATGATCTTAGGCCGATTTTTTAAATCTCAGATTTAGAGGGCAGGAAAGGGTCTTTGATATCGCTTAGTTTAATTCCCTCATTTTATAGAAGACACTGCCGAGGCCAAGGGATGTGAATGTGATTTGCCCAAATTCATACAGTTCAGGGATGGCGAGGCCAACAGAAGTGGGCCTTCTGACTCATCTGGCGCTCTCTGCTGTGCCTCCCTGCTTCCTGTTCACAAACAACGGTAAGGCCCAGGAGAATGTTCCCAGTGCAATAGCTGCCCCACAGGCCCAGGAAGGACTGGGTATGTCAGAGACTGTTAGGGAGCACTTCCTGCCAGAATGTTCATGGAATGGCATAGGGAGCTAGTCACTTACTCAATTTGTATATATTTAGCCCATACTTGTATCAGGGGCTCTCCTTGCTTGGAGTGGAATAAGGCAGAAATAAAGAAGAATAACCGATAATAAGGTTCCTGAACAAGAATCAGGGAAAGGATAACCAGACCTTCCCCCACGTCACTAAGATCTACTGGTACACTGTAATCTACCACTACTGAGATTATTTTTATTTTATGGAGAAGAGACAGAGAGGCAGAGAAGTTAAAAGTCTTGTCCAAAATCAAACAGTTTATCAGTGACAGTCTGCTAACGACTGGCTGAACGGCCTTCTTAAAAATAATTTGTACAAACGTCATGATTGTTCATCAACAACAGTGGGGATGCTCGCTTGTGTTTTCTTTGATAAGGACAATAACATTGTGTCTGTTAGAAACTTAAGAAATACTATTAAAATGCTAGACTTTTCTCCCAGTGTGGGAAATTTTCCTAGGGAATTGTAATAATTAAGGTCTTTTTCTTTGGTCAATATTTAGTGAAAAAAAAATCAAATATTTTCCACCGTCTGAGTTCTACATTGTGGATTATCTATTATGATTTGATAAAAATGGTTTCTGATAATCTGAGAAAAAAATTAAAAGTGAACTATGAGAAGTAGAGAATACTCCCTCAAGCTTCCTCCCCTCAAATCCCCTGGGTGAGCATTTAAGAATTCTCAAAGTGTTCTTCAGTGGGAGGGGATCACTAAGCATTCAGCACTGCTGAGTCCATGCTTAACTGAGTTTCCCACCATAACCTCCTTGATGAGTATTTGTGAAGGCCGAATTGCTGATGCAGAGAAGGCATCTAGCTGTACGCCAGGGACAGAGGAACCAATCAATCAATGTTAGCCAGCATGCTGTGTGCTTGCCTTTTCTCATAGCTGACATTCTCCAGCCCCGTGTTCTATATCAGAATGAATGTTTCCAGAAACAAGTTTCTATTTTTTCTAATAACATTGAATTAACCTAGACTCACCTTTCTTTAACTTCTCATAATGTTCTCTTGTTTCAATAAATTCTTCTTCAAACTAGATAAAGAACAGAGAGACATTATTGTAACTTTATGACAAACTTCCCTATCTACAGCAACTCCACCACTCATGAAGCAAGGATTCTAAGATCACTGTCTTTAAGGCAAGGTCCTTGATGGAATGTAAATATTGACTCAAAGAGGAGCAGGGCAGTTTGGGGACATGTGATTAAGGCTGGGACTAACTAGTGAGACACCTAGGGCATAAGAGCTAAGGTCTGAGAAGCCGTGCCTCCCTAAATTCTGCACTGTAGGTGCTTCACTCGCCTGACCCTCAGCCTGATCCTTCATAAGTCTATACTTGCACGACAAAAAACAATTTTGAGACACTTAAGAGAAGTCAGTGGAGAGGGAATTCAATGTTAAGGGATGAACTTAGCTGGGTGTAAGGTTCCAGCTGGTGGCCATGAGTATTACATGACTGAGGTGCTGTAGTCGGACAGAAATGACCCCCCAACATCAGCTGGTCCCAGTGGAGAAGATGAGAGTCAGATGTGGGTCTCCTCTCTCTCCTTAATCTTGAGATCCACTAAGATCCTTTCATTCCTACAAAGCTTCCAGATCACTTCCAGATCCCCAACTCCTTTCCTCCCCCTCCCCCCCCCATCTCTTAAAAGGAAAACAGTTGGAAAGGGAAAGAGTAGATACAACTTGAAGGCACAATCCTGGATTTTGAAGGGGGAAGGGGGACTGCACACCCACCCAGATACCCAGATACCGTACTTCCTCTTCCCAATCAGGAACCAACCTGCACTCCAGCTGCAGCCAGCAGCCAGCGGATGGACTCCATCCTGCCTCGGCCATTAAAGTAGTAGAGCTTGGGTTTGGCTGCCATGACTCTTGGCTCAGAGTTTCCTAAAGGGGAAAATTTTTAAAAAGAAAATTACTTTTAAAGAACTAACTAACTAGTTAAAACTAACTAACACACACCATATGTTATGTCTTCATTTATAGCAATGTTAAAGCACATAAAACAAACCTACTCTGTAGAGACTCAAACACAGGAGGTAAAACTATGAGGAAAAGTAAGAAATAAATATCACAGAAACAGGATAGAAGTTACCGCTTGGGAGGAGAAGGGGGTTGCAACTGAGGAGGGACATTTGAGATTCTATGATGCAGCGATGTTCTATTTCATGAGCAGAATTAGTAGCCTTTATAATTTGTCATTAAATTGTGCAAAAAAAATACTCTATAAATGGACTAGGTCAAAATTTTAAAAAGAACAAACTATACATATCAAGGCATCAAGATATTTCTGTAGATTTGAAAGACATTCTCTGATATTTGCTGAAAGATATCAGAAGTTAATATAATGGTTTCATGAATTACTGTAAAAGAAAACCTTTTCTAACAGCAACAAGGAGGCATTTGGATTGAAGCATTCTGTGGGAACGGGGATGGTTTGGCTGCTGTCACAAGATTTCCTGGAGCACTGATACAAGTACAAATGCAAGCCTAGACAGGATCTGAATTCAGGTTCTTTCCTGGTCATCAACAAGCTGGGTAACCTTAGATCTCATTCGCTTAACCTCTGTCTGCCTACAGGTCCTTACCTGCAACTGGGAAGAATCTCCCAGCACCATCTGCAGCCTTCAAAGAGAGTCCATAAAGCCCTTGTACCTAATAGCATTTCTACCTCACTGTTGCCAGAGCCCAACATGGCTGTTGTTAGTGATYGTACCTGTTTCACAGGATTATTGCAGTGATCATATGAGATAAAATAAGGAGCTTTGAAGGTACTATAACTCTTTGGTCTCCTTTTTTCACCTTTGCCCCTCCTACTCTATATACAACAATGCACACTCATTTAAAGGAACAGCAAAAGATACCAACTTCTGGCACAGTGCCTGTGGTACTTGGCTCAGAAGGTGCTCAGGAGGCACTGAGGAGCACATCCATGGAGACGCTATGCTGCCCTGGCTGCCAAGAGA